AAAAAAAAAAAAAAAAAAAAAAAAAAAAAAAAGAACAACAAGCGAATGAAATATAAAAAAAAAACAAACAAATATTAATTTAAATAACAAACCAACAAAAACACATACAACAATACAATAATACCCCAAACCCTAAACCCTAAACCCTAAACCCTAAACCCTAAACCCTAAACCCTGAAATAGTGTATTATACTTGAGCAGTTCTTCAAGAGGTTCTTCTGCCTCTTTTTTTAGATCATTTGCTTCGCTTTCGTTGTTATTATTTAATTCATTTTCTTCTGTTTCTTCTTCTTTTTCCATTTCTGCATCGAGCTGCATATCCTCAGCCTCTTGCTGCTCTGCCTGTTCTCCTGAGGCATCAAACTCCTCATCATCACCCCCTCCTGCTGCTGCTGCTGCTGCTGCTGCTGCTGCTGCTTCTCCTGCTGCTGCTGCTGCTGCTGCTGAGGATGAAGCTGCTGCTGCGCTGGATTTGTCCTCCTTTGAACTCCGCGGCGACTGTACACGCCGCCGTTGCTTTTGCTGTTGTTGCTGCTGCTGCTGCTGCTGCTGCTGCTGTTGCTGCATGTTTCGCTGATGTTGTTTGCTTTCTTCACGAGGGCTAGCCGCCTCCCCAATACCGTCAGCGCCCCCGTCTTGTGTCTGTACACCGCAGACACCACAGACAGCTCCCCATACACTCCAAACCTACAATGTAAACCCTAAACCCTAAACCCTAAACCCTCGGAGCCTGCGGCAAAACGGCCGCAGCGACGCCTCCGTCAGGGATGCATGCACCCGCAGCAGACTCGCGGAGCTGGGGTTTAGAAGCGCGTTCAGTTGTTGATAAGAAACGAGTCAGCAGCAGCAGCATCCGCGCCATAACAAGCAGCAGCAGCAGCAGCAGCAGCAGCGCCATAACAAGCAGCAGCAGCAGCATCAGCAGCAGCACCACCAGCATCAGCACTTCCAGCAGCAGCATCATCATCGGCGAGCAGCAGCATCAGCATCAACAGCAGCACCGCCACCACCGTCACCGCCAACAGCAGCACCAGCAGCAGCAGCAGCAGCAGCAGCATGATGAGCAGCAACATGAAGATGAGGATGAGTGTTGTATTACCTTTCGAATACCTCCAGCGATTGCCTTGGATACTCGTAGTGCTTTCTGCACGAATCTGTTGAAATTTTTTTCTTTTTGTTGCTGCAGCTGCGACTGCAACGCTCGCTTCTGATCCTCCCAAACTATATGTTCAACTTTCACCCAAAAAGATGAAACTGCTGCACTCAGTATCTTTGCTTGTTGCCGCCATAGACGTTCTGCTTCCTCTTGGCGTTGACAGCGGCGACGAGCCTGACCATCAACTTGACGTTTACAGAGCCCTAAAAAGAAAAAAAATAAAAAATAAATACATTAATATTATTTATTTATATATTCTACGCTTTTTTTAAGCCAAAAATCATAATTTTCATCGACGTTTACCTGGTGCGCAAACAGAAACCGATACGAAACATGAACTGAAATCAATACACGCTGAGATCGAAGATGAAATGCAACTTGCAATGAAACTTCAAATAAAAACGGAAATCAAATTAAAATTAAAATTCCAATTAAAACAAATATAGAAATATAAAATTCTGTTGAAATTAAAGAGGAAAATGAAAGAAAATAGAAGCGAAATCCCCATAGAAAAAGAAATGCAAATTCATATAAATATCGAAATTTCAGTAGAAACTGAAACTGAAATTCAAATTAAGTGAAAGTTGAACTCGAAAAAAAAAATTCAAAAAAAAATTCAAATTTTTTTTTCAAGGGAAAGTTGAGTGGAAATAGAAACTGAAACTGAAATTAAAGAGAAAATAAAGTGGAAATAGAAAAGGAATTCAAATAAAAAAATAAATATGAATTGAAACGAAAATAAATTTGGAATAGAAACGTAATAAAAAGAGATATAGGGATGGAGCAGAAACACCAGCGAAGAAGACGGGGGAAAGCAGAAACAAATACAGAAATTAAATAGGAAAAGGAATAGAAACAGGGTCAGCAGCAGCAGCAACCCAAGCAGCAACAGCAGCAGCAGCAGCAGCAACAGCAGCAACAGCAGCAGCAGCAGCAGCAGCAGCAGCAACGGCAGCAACACCAGCAGCAGCAGCAGCAGAAACAGCAGCAGCAGCAGCAGCAAAGGGAGCTTGCCTGCGAAGTTTCTGAATCCTTTTCTTTTTTCTTTGTGTTCATCACTAACGAGATCTTGAAAGGTTACCATCTCCGCCATGATGGTATCTCCATGGAGTGGTAGCTGCTGCTGCTGCTGCAGCACAGCAGCAACATCTGCTCCTGCTGCAGCAGCAGCAACAGCAGCATCCAAGCATGCTGCTCCGCACAAACACTTTGGGGGATCTTTCTGCTGCTGCACTGGGGGCCCCCTACCCATGAGTAAGTGTACACGGTTGAGCTCCTGCTGCAGCTGCTGCAGCTTAGCTGTTAGAGCTGCTTCTTCTTCTCCTGTCTCTGTAACATATCTTCCTCCCAATCGACGTAAAAACAAACGCATCTCTGTCTTCTTTGGATGCAGTGCTGCTGCTGCTGCTGCTGCTGCA